CCTCTACATATTTTTATACAATGCGTATTTACGTTATGCATCTGGTGAGTGCGTAATTCTACTACACCTTTGGAGCACCATCCCCTTAAGGGGACCTCTACATATTTTTTATACAATGCGTATTTACGTTATGCATCTGGTGAGTGCGTAATTCTACTACACCTTTGGAGCACCATCAATTGGATTCTGCTGTCACCTTTACCTAAATCTACATTTGCCAATTCTGCACCGCGTTTTGTGGACCGCTTTCGGGGTGTTAACATAAACACCCCGCAGCGGTTCGCATGAACGCGGTGCGATTCTGATGAGATGCAGAATTCACACAGAAACCGCTGCAAATTCCACACCGCATCAGTGTGAACCTGGGCTAAAGCAGGTCAGGAGGAGGCCAACTGCTGTCGAAATCTGCATGATCTCAAAAGCGACTTAGACTGATGTCAATGTCACAAGCTCACTGACGCGTGCCCTGAGGCTAATAAACACATGTATTAAAGTGGAATTAAACTCTCTTCTTTCTTCATTACACTCTTGGGTCATTCCAGGCATTTGTAAAATGCTGGGGACAGTGCGACTCATGATTGCAAACTCATCAGTGGCCACGCAAAGGCTGAAAAGGATCACCACAGGACCCAGAAGCAGAGATGGCAAAGCACACAGTGGTGATAGGCGCCTGGACTTCAGGATATGGCAAAGCCAACCCACAAAAAAACTATGTTTTCAAATAAAATGGCAACACAACTTTCATGAGGAAAGACAATCGAGGACGAAGCACCACCTCATCCCTATGTAGAAGAACAGCTGCTTCCAAGAAAGAGCTGCCAGATCAGATATTATTATTATTATACAGGATTTATATATTATTATTATTATTATACAGGATTTATATATTATTATACAGGATTTATATATTATTATTATTATACAGGATTTATATATTATTATTATTATTATACAGGATTTATATATTATTATACAGGATTTTTATATATATTATATTATTATACAGGATTTATATATATTATATTATTATTATACAGGATTTTATATATTATTATTATTATACAGGATTTATATATTATTATTTATAATAATAATACAGGATTTATATATTATTATTATACAGGATTTATATATTATTATTATACAGGATTTATATATTATATTATTATACAGGATTTATATATTATATTATTATACAGGATTTATATATTATTATTATACAGGATTTATATATTATTATACAGGATTTATATAATATTATTATACAGGATTTATATATTATTATTATACAGGATTTATATATTATTATTATACAGGATTTATATATTATTATTATTATACAGGATTTATATATTATATTATTATTATTATACAGGATTTATATATTATATTATTATTATTATACAGGATTTATATATTATATTATTATACAGGATTTATATATTATATTATTATACAGGATTTATATATTATATTATATTATTATACAGGATTTATATATTATATTATTATTATTACACAGGATTTATATATTATATTATTATTATTATACAGGATTTATATAATGCCAACAGTTTGCTCAGCACTTTACAATATAATGGGAGACAATACAGCAACAATACAGTTCAATACAAGAGGGATTTGAGGGCCTGATCCTGGGAGCTTACAATCTAGGAGATACCCTGAGCACCAAAGTGACAGAAACCAGGAAGGCCACCTTTACCAAAAGAGGCAAATACTATAGTCCATGTTGGAAGCAAGAGAGGGTGGCTACATTCCTATATACAGTGGGACCATAGAGAACAAATGTAGCCACACTAACAAAAAGCTTGATCACAGGCAAAAAAAAAAAAAAAAAAAATGCAAAAGAAAAACAAAAAGAGGGCGCACCGACCTAGTGCATTATCGTTGAAAATATTTATTGAAAGAATAAAAAAAGTAGGTACCATACTCACAATCGACCTATAAAACATAGGCACATCACAGTAAACAGAGGTGTTCAATTCATATAGCATCTGAGTCCACAACGATGGATCCCTGGATGACCAACTGGCTTACGCGTTTCGAGGACTGGTTGGCTCTGAGACCTCAAAATGCGTCAGCTAGTTGGTCACCCAGGGATCCATCGCTGTGGACTCAGATGCTATATTGAGGTAAAGAATAAATTCAGCTTTTTAAAAAAAATAAAATGATAAATGCACATCTTTTTGCAGGTAAAAAATGTGCATTTATGATTTTTTTTTATTAGGAGCCTGTAAAGCATTGCACTCATGATCAGCAGATCACAGGTGCAATGCAAGGCTTCTGCATACTGTCAATGTATCCGTCTGCTCATATCACATACAGGCAAGCAGTTACACAATAACAGGAGGAAGCAATGAAGTGCCTAGAGTGCTCACCACTGCCCTGGTAGTTCATTGAGAACTACAAGCTGTCAGCTGCCAAGGCTGACAGTAGTTGTAGTTTTCCCATTCACAGGATTCTGTGAATGAATGACGCAGCTGGGTGGGTGGAGCCTCGCACAGCCGCGTTTTTTAAAACTGTGATAGCAGGTACGGGAGAAGATCCCCGGCGGGCTGTCACAATGGAGGCTGAGGGTGGGAGGGGGTAGGGGGTTGGTAGATGAGAGAAAGCTGCTCATTTAGTAACAGGTTATACCCCAAATATGGGTGTATTTACCCTTTAAGTAAACATATAATATTTATTTTTTAAACCAGAGTTTAATGTCACTTTAACTATAGAAGAAACAATCCATGTCTTCTGGCTGGCAGGGCTGCGTGGCCGAGGCGAGTTTGCTCAGCTGTTTTCCTGGGGTCTAGCTCAAATCTTGCCCCTATATCGAACATTAGTTAGACCTCATATAGAATATGCAGTTTAGTTTTGAGGACCAGCTTGCAAAAAAGAACGTCCAGAAATGAAACAAGGGCAGGGAGGAGTCAATAAATGTAAAAATGAAAAGAGCAATGTTTCCCAACCTTTTCTCAGTCAAGGCACCCTTAGAAATGATGGAGAGTAGCAACAACAAAACTTGTAGGACACCCAGTGCTAGAGGGGATTTATTCTTCCAAAACAAACACACTGTTGAACACTGGTACTGACTAGTATGCCAGTGTTTTCTTCTCTCCCTCAGCCAATGCTAACAGAGAGGGCAGGGGAGGGCCAACAAGGATGCTGTACTGGTGCCCAACATGCTCCTTATCAACCGGTGATGTCATTGGTTGTTAGGACGCCAGTGGCTGGAAGGCTGTAATGGTGCACAATGAAAACCTATGGCTTTGCGCCTGTATACAACATGTGGGCAATTTCTAAGGATTTTGTCAAGGCACCCCTGAAGAAACCTGAAGGCACCACAGGGTGCCTGGGTATCCTGATTAAAACAGGCTGGGACGGAGTACCATTATAGCGAAAAAAAAGAAGGATTTCCTGCTTTTCTGAAAACAAGATGTAAATACAGGCTGATATTTCCAGGTTAGGACATTGCTTATATTCGTCTTGTTATTCGACTGCCTTTAGAGTCTAGGGAAGGAATGTTTTCCATCCATTTGGAACTGCATCCGAAACAAACAATACAGTAGAGGCCAAAAGTACTGGCACTGTAACCCCCCCACCCCACCCCCCCGGGTCACACCGATCCCGACTTTGAATCATGTGGCTTACAGTGAAGTCGCACGATTTCAAAGTCGGACGTCATGCCGATTTGAGGTGCGATTTTCAAATTTTTTACCGCTCCCCAAGCGCCCTATGCACATTTTTCAGGCGGTTAATAGGCGTTTTCCAAGCATTAAAACCGCACCACAAAGGCCTATAATGAAGTTAATGGTATTAACGCTCCTCAAACGCCTTGCAAACGCCCTGCAAACACCTGGCCAGGTGTTTGAGGAGCGTCCCCATAGACTTGAATGGGAGGCGTTGTAAGGCTTCAACTCCTCCTGACTTGACTTGAGGCATCAATTTTGCTGCGATGCGAACGCTTCAGTGTGAACAGCACTATGTGCTCCCATGTGTATATTTTTCATAGACGTTTGAGGAGCTTTAAAAATGCCCCTCAAACGCCCTGCTTACACAGCTAGTGTGAACTGAGCTTAAAGGAAGTCACTGCCTCCATTGTGTGACAGTACACAGGCCTAGCAATAGCTGATAGGACCGAGCACGGTCACATGAGCAGAGGTCACAAGCTCTCCCTTCCCTGGAAGCTCAGAGTATTGTTGCTGGCTGAGGCAGCAGACTGAGTGGGGTAAAGTCCTAGCCAGGTGAGTAGGAGTGGGTGGGTTGGGGGGGGGGGGGGGGGGTGCCCTGAATGGGAAAGTAAAGCTGGCCATAGACGACTATGTATTTTTTTGCTCAGCCAGCAGGTTTCCTGCAAGGTGGATGGAAGAATCCCCCACCCTCTTCTGTCAGAATACAGTGATCGGCGGCAGCATCCGGAGATCGACAGAAGTTTTCCAACATTCCTGACTGACTTCTGTAGCCACACATGGACTACAAATCAACTGGTTAATGCTGAACTAGCCAAACTACACTGTTAACCTCCCTAGCGGTCTGATTATGTCCATATTTCTGCGCTCAAAGCGGTACATTTTTTTGCATGGAAATATGCTGTTTTTTTATTGTAGGCTGTAATTTTTAGGAATAACTCACTGAAATCTGCGAACAAGAGTCTAGTAAACATCCCGGGGAGGATAAAATTTGAAACACGAAATCATAAATTATAATTTAATAATTAATCATAAAAAATAATATAATAATAATAATAAATGTAATTCAATAATATAATCAAACCAAAAACACTGAAATGTGAAATAGAGCGCCAAGTTCGCACATCGCTGAGCTCAGTCGCAGAATCGTTTTCAGTGTCTGATGGCGAATTTCCCCCACGAATCATTATCACTCAATTCTGCAAGTGGTTCTGATTTACTATCGCTGTTCTCTAGCCGGTCTAAAACCGCTTTTGACCTAAAGGGACACTTTTTGGACGCCATGGACGTTTCTCAGTTTCCAGGCAGAAAGAACAGTAAAAATGCAGGCAGGGCGCCGGACAAAGCACTCGGGACAAAATGTATGTGAAATGGTTTGATACAGGAATGTTATATTATGTGATTTTAGTGTATTGGTAAATGTCAGTTTTTAAAATTTTCAAATTTTAACGCCGGTTCTGTCCCGACGCCCGCAGGGAATGGAACCCGGAAGACAGATGCCGGCATCACCCGGAGGAGATGGCCGGGGACGCTGCAGGGGGGACAAGGTGAGTGCAGAAGGGATCCCGGAGCAACACTACAATGTATTCCCGAATGTAGCTCTTCTGGTACTGAAACTTTACCCCGAGCTACACTCGGGAATACCGCCAGGGGGGTTAAGCTAGCCATAGATGAATCAAACACGTGTTAGTTAATGCACAGCAATGTGATGCTAAAGTTTGGCGGGCCCTAAAGACATTCACTGTTTACGAACATAATTACCCAACACTCCTTGAAACGCCTCAGAACAAGATGATAGGGAAAATCTTCCAAGGATGACGCCCTCTCCCCTGACAACTATTAAAGGCAAGATTTCACCCCACTTTGGGGAGTAAACTCAAGGCGATACTAAACCATCTGGGATTTAGATTTTATTTCAGAAGAGGCGGTCCCACACATACCTACGTAGTCCTATTTTCGGGATAGTCCCTTTTCTCCTATAGCTGTGTGTGCGCACGATCCCTATTTCTAACAGAGATGACAGTGAATGTCTTTCCTTGGCAACCTCTCTCTCTTACCTTGGCTGATCATCAAGCAAACACCTTACACAATTCTCAGATTAGTGAACAAAGCCGAGGGATATAAAACACAACAAAGAAGTTAAGTTGGTCGATAACAGAAAGTAGCACCAGCAACCTACCATTATAATGCTGCAGCCTGCAGGAGGAGGACAAATTCATGGCCCCCTTCTGTGTATCACCCTGCAGGAGGAGGACAGACTCGTAGCCCCCTTCTGTCTGTATCACCCTGCAGGAGGAGGACAGACTCATAGCTCCCTTCTGTCTGTATCACCCAGCAGGAGGAGGACAGACTCATAGCCCCCTTCTGTCTGTATCACCCTGCAGGAGGACAGACTCATAGCCCCCTTCTGTCTGTATCACCCTGCAGGAGGAGGACAGATTCATGGCCCCCTTCTGTCTGTATCACCCTGCAAGAGGAGGACAAATTCATGGCCCCCTTCTGTCTGTATCACCCTGCAGGAGGAGGACAGACTCATAGCCCCCTTCTGTCTGTATCACCCTGCAGGAGGAGGACAGACTCATAGTCCCCTTCTGTCTGTATCACCCTGCAGGAGGAGGACAGATTCATGGCCCCCTTCTGTCTGTATCACCCTGCAGGAGGAGGACAGATTCATAACTCCCTTCTATCTGTATCACCCTGCAGGAGGAGGACAGACTCATAGTCCTCTTCTGTCTGTATCACCCTGCAGGAGGAGGACAGATTCATAGCCCCCTTCTGTCTGTATCACCCTGCAGGAGGAGGACAGATTCATAACTCCCTTCTATCTGTATCACCCTGCAGGAGGAGGACAGACTCATAGCTCCCTTCTGTCTGTATCACCCTGCAGGAGGAGGACAGACTCATAGCCCCCTTCTGTCTGTATCACCCTGCAGGAGGAGGACAAATTCATGGCCCCCTTCTGTCTGTATCACCCTGCAAGAGGAGGACAAATTCATGGCCCTCTTCTGTCTGTATCACCCTGCAGGAGGAGGACAGACTCATAGCCCCCTTCTGTCTGTATTACCCTGCAGGAGGAGGACAGACCCATATCCCCTTCTGTCTGTATCACCCTGCAGGAGGAGGACAGACTCATAGCCCCCTTCTGTCTGTATCACCCTGCAGGAGGAGGACAGATTCATGACCCCTTCTGTCTGTATCACCCTGCAGGAGGAGGACAGACTCATAGCCCTCTTCTGTCTGTATCACCCTGCAGGAGGAGGACAGACTCATAGCCCCCTTCTGTCTGTATCACCCTGCAGGAGGAGGACAGATTCATAGCCCCCTTCTGTCTGTATCACCCTGCAGGAGGACAGACTCATAGCCCCCTTCTGTCTGTATCACCCTGCAGGAGGAGGAAGACTCATAGCCCCCTTCTGTCTGTATCACCCTGCAGGAGGAGGACAGACTCATAGCCCTCTTCTATCTGTATCACCCTGCAGGAGGACAGACTTGTAGCCCCCTTCTGTCTGTATCACCCTGCAGGAGGAGGACAGACTCGTAGCCCCCTTCTGTAGCAATCGTGCACACAGAGCTGGGCGTGGTCATCCATTTTGCTCCAAACCCTCCATCTTGTATCTCTCTCTCCTTCTCCAAAATCCCCCCTCCCTCTCTGTTGAGTGCAATGTGGTCCCTGGATGCTGAGTTCAAAAAGGCATCAAGGCCTAGTGGGAGAGCTCATGGCTATAAACCCCAATTAGCCTGGCCCCCAGATGTCTGCAAGACTCTGCTTGGAAAAGGATCATAAAACCATAAACCAGTCCTTCGCTGAGCCTCAAAGACATTCCAGAGAAGCCATGAAGCAGACATCACATTCAGCATCCACTTTCTCCTATGATTACATATCTTGGAATATGAAAGACTTACATAAAAACAGGGCATATATTCAGACCGCTCACTTTAATACAAGTCGTCTGATATATTACACCCCCTAGCTGACACAAGCAGGGGAGCAGAAAATGATATCTCCTTAACCATCCCAGCAGGTATGTCATATTTCATATCTAGACGTTCAGCAGATGATTCTGCGTATTAATTTAACCGTGGATAAAATGCTACATGTACCTAGAAAACGTTATTGACCGTAGTATAATTTGGGAGGGATTTGGTCATAGCCTGAGCTCCCCGCCTACAACACCCCTCCCCAAATGAGGCGATTGGTTCTCTGTTTTAAGGAGACACCCTGCTGAGTTCCTAGAAAAAGGCTGTTATGCTAGGAGCTAAGCTAAGCTGAGTTGAGCTAAGTTGAAGATTCTCCCTTTTAACATCGGAACTAACTTTGGGAGATAAGGCACCCTTTTGGCTCAGGAAACTTGATCTGCTTAAACCAGGACGTTTGGCAAGTACTTTACCTCCCTAAATTTCTTTCTGTTATCTCTTTGCTGTGTTATTGTTCCCTAAATTTATATATACACCCTGTACCAAATTATTATGCAAATTCTATTTAAGTGTCACAAAGATTAAATATTTTGTTTTTCAGTTTAACTCATGGATGGCATTGTGTGTCAGGCCTCTTTTGATCACTGAAAACAATCTCGGACACCTGTGATAATTAGATTGGTCGGTGAGCCCAATTTAAGGAAAAACTACTAAAGGAGGGAGTTCCACATTATTAAGCAGAGCACCATTTTCAAGCAATATGGGGAAGAAAAAGGATCTCTCTGCTGCCGAAAAGAGTGAAATAGTTCGATGCCTTGGACGAGGTATGAAAACATTAGATATTTCACGAAAACGTAAGCGTGATCATCGCACTATGAAGAGATTTGTGGCTGATTCAGAGCACAGACGGGTTGGTGCAGATAAAGGCACATTGAGGAAGATTTCTGCCAGATTCATGCATCGGATCAAGAGAGCAGCTGCTAAAATACCATTACAGATATTTGAAGCTGCTGGTGCCTTTGGAGTCCCACGGACATCAAGGTGTAGAGTCCTCCAGAGTCTTGCAACTGTGCATAAACCTTCCATTCGGCCACCACTAACCAATGCTCACAAGCAGAAATAGCTGCATTGGGCAGAAAAATACATGAAGACTAATTTTCAAACAGTCCTGTTCACTGATGAGTGCCGTGCAACTCTGGATGGTCCAGATGGATGGAGTAGTGGATGGTTGGTGGATGGCCACCCTGTTCCAACAAGGCTGCGACGTCAGCAAGGCAGTGGTGGAGTCATGTTTTGGGCCGGAATCATGGGAACAGAGCTTGTCGGCCCCTTTAGGGTCCCCGAAGGTGTAAAGATGACCTCTGCAAAGTATGTGGAGTTTATGACTGACCACTTTCTTCCCTGGTACAGAAGGAAGAACTATGCTTTCCGTAATAAAATCATCTTCATGCATGACAATGCGCCATCTCATGCTGCAAAGAATACCTCTGCATCAATGGCTACTATGGGGATAAAAGGAGAGCAAGTCATGGTGTAGCCTCCATCCTCCCCTGACCTCAATCCTATTGAGAACCTTTAGAGCATCCTCAAGCAAAAGATCTATGAGGGTGGGAAGCAGTTTACATCCAAACAGCAGCTCTGGGAGGCTATACTGACATCTTGCAAACAAATTCAAGAAGAAACTGTCCAAAAACTCACAAGTTCAATGGATGCCATACTTGTGATCTGCTATCAGATAAGGGGTCCTATGTTACAATGTAACGAGACCTGTTAAAATGTTTAAAAAGTTAAAATGTTGTTAAAAGTTTGATTGAAATAGCTTTTGATTTCAGTAAATATGCTGCAAACACAACAAATTACAATTTTCAGTTCTTTACAACCTATAAAGTGTTTTGAAACTTACTGTGCGTAATAATTTGGAACAGTGCATTGGAAATTTTTTATGTTTAAAAAAAATCCTGTTATCATTAGGAGGTTTGTTCAATAAAACTTGAATTGTACTCTTAATAGTTGATAACATGAGAATTATGCCGACTGTTATTACATCAATTATTTAGGGAAATGAGAAAAATATAATTTGCATAATAATTTGGAACAGGGTGGATATATATTGGCTACATCTTTTTTCTGTAAATATTTTTATTGCACCCTTTTGACCTTTATTATTTAGTAATAAATCTTACTTTCTGAAAGTGTTGAACTGTTGCTAAAGCTCTTTAATGCAAACTAAGAACCCCTGTCTCTGAAGAGCGCTATTGTGTGCTGTTAAACCTCTGTATAACCTGCCTGCGGTGACAGTGGTATACAGATGATTAGGCAATATCAGCAACACTATGATGGTTGAATAGTTTCCTCTTTCTCTGTACAAAAAGGAGGTGGTGGCAGTGTGAAGGGTTAATTGAGTAATTAACCTGACCCAGTAACAATCGCTCCCAGGCTGCCGGTACACCGATTGTGGTCCATTATCTGGAAAATCTTTGTGCAGGGTGCAGCTGGGTGTGACATTGTTACGAACGTGACAGCGCGGTTTTAGATTGGCTAGTCCTTCGGTCACGAGTTCTGGTGAGAAGGGCTGGGGTCTGACGCCGTGATCGTCACACCTTCTGTCTGTATCACCCTGCAGGAGGATGACAGACTCATTGCCGCCTTCTGTATGTATCACCCTGCAGGAGGAGAACAGACTCATAGCCCCCTTCTGTCTAGATCACCCTGCAGGAGGAGGACAGACTC